ACCCACAGATCCTCCTTCTCACTTGGAATTAAAAGGCACCTGGCCTATCTTCATTCTGCCATAATGCTTACCATTCTCTCCCTGGTTCTTCAGAGATATTATTTGTAAGTTACCTGATACCCTTAAAATAAATTCAAGTTTTTCTCTGATAAATTACTTCAAGTATTTTAGAATATCCTTAACATTTTTCACCTTTGATTTTAGTGTCCTACCACAATGTTTCCAGCCTTTTCTAACTGAAAGCCATTTTCCTTATAGAAGTAAACAAAGCTGCTTCCTAATCTGGGGCAGAAGAAAGATGGGGTTTGGGGTTCTGGATTCTGTAGGCAAAACCGAGTTCTTTTCCTAGTGTATTATTTCCGGGTTAGGTTCTGTCTCCTTCCTTCTCCTCAGTATATTCAAGAACTCAGGAACCTCATGAACTTATGAACAAACCTAAATTTATGAAAATCACCAGAAAAAGCCTTCGTTTAATCATAAACTACTAACATTGCTCTTTTTCTTCTTTAATTCCTACCACACACATTATCTGTACCACAGTTAGCATTTTGTGATTATTCATGCTTCTTTTTCTTAAATCCTGTGTTCACCTGGCTTAGAGGTGCCATGTTATCAATAGAAGCTATCTAACTAATAAGACAGTAAGATATAAAATACAAACCTCAGAGGTTTATGAACATATAGTAACACCACAATTTTATCTGAAATAATGAGACTTTAACATTTTCTTGATTTTTTGCCTTTCATTTAAAAAATTATTAAACATGATTATCTCATTGGTGTGACCAGATGTATGTATCATTTATTTAATCTATTATAAAAATTTCTGTGAAATATAAGTTTATTTCATATTGAGATACTCAAACCAAACAATGAATAACTAGGACCAAGGCTATTAAACAGAAAGTTGGTAGAGTTAAGATTTGAACCAGGCTGTCTAACTCTGAAGGCCAGTTATATGTCCCTCAGCTTTTATTTTATATCAGATTAGGAACTTAAAATTAACAAATTTCAGCAGCTAGATATTAAAAACATAGCAAGTGCCTACCTTCCCCAAGCTGCTTGCTTCTGAAGACAACTCCAAAGGGCTGGCTTCCATAGCAAGACTCACGGTGTTCACTATAACCCAAGGCTGGCTTTTTAAACCTGTCATTTAATACACACACACACACACACACACACCACACACACACACAAAAGAAAAACATTTAGTTGGTCCCACAAAACCACTTCCTAAAAAGAACAATCTAATAGTGGAAAAATTAATGAAAACAGGGCTATGAAGTGTGATAGATTAGTTTTCAAAATGTGAAGATCTATATTACTCCTAAAAACAGGCCTCAAGAAATTATAAATCTTTATCTGTCCTTTTCATCAGAATTTTAATTTTTATCTACTGCTAAAGTTTACCTAGCTACAGGAATTCAGAGGAGCTAGTATTTTTGCTTCGATGATTTTGATATTTCAAATACATGAAAAATTGACTAGAGCTTCCTGTTCAAATTATTTTATATGTAACTGCATGAATTTCCATTATATTCTCATGTAAAGTATCTCATTAATCTTCAAAATAGCACCATGAGGTAGGCATTATTTCACCATTCTTTCTCTCCAACCTTTTTGCAAGTAGCATAGTTATTTAAACATCATAAGTTTGACATGCTTCTTTTTAAGAACGTTCAACAATGACAAAAGAGCCAAGACTAGAATTCTGGTCTACTGGAATAGACTTTTTTTTAATTGGTTTGTTGTCCAGTAGAAATGTTTCATGATACAAAATAAAAAAAAGGCATGTTATTATTTACTTGATATCGACAAACCCCACACGTCGGTACACAGCACTGAAGGCACTGTACCCAAAACTAAAACTGCTAATAAATTAAAGACTTGGACTATAACTGAAAGTGTACCACTGACTCCATTTCCTCTTTATATCTATTCTGATTTTCCACTGTACTAGGCAAAAAAAAAAAAAGGCCACCCTATCTCACTATAAGGTTCATATCATAAGTACTATGAAGATCCCTTGTTTGTGGATTCAATCAAACATGTATGAAAAACACTGTATTGGATATATTCAGACTTATTGTTCATGTCATATTCCCTAATACAGCATAACAACTATTTGCATCGCATCTACACTGTATCAGGCATTACAAGTAACTAGAGACGATTTGACCTATGAGGAGGAAGTGCCGTGGCACCACGCAAACACTCCACTGCTGAGCGTGAGGGACTTGTGCGGCTGCAGATTTGGTGTCTGTGGAGATGGGACCAATACTCCAAGAATGTCAAGGATGACTAAACTTGATGACTACATTTACATCTTATGCAACGCTACCCCCACCCATACTCATTATCTTAGATGTGTCTACATACAGATGAAAGGAAATACAGCCTCTGGTTGAAAAGCACAGACATACAAGGCTACGATGCTCTAAATAAGCACACAGCTTTAAAATAAATTAGATTTAATGAATCCACATTTACCTCTGGCACAGAAAGTGACTGCAACGTACCAGTATGTGCGTACAGTGAATGGAAATGATTCCTGTGAACACAAGGCTGATTGGCCCAAGCTGTGGGAAAGAAAATGCCAAATGTTTAAATATTTAAATTTAAAGACACTGGTAATCATAAAATCAGTAAGTCAGTGTACTACTGATTTTCAAATGAAAAAAAATTGGACAAAATGATTTAGTTATTTGCATAAGGGAAAAAAAATCAATAAACTTGATACAGAAAGGACATTAAGCATATAAGACAACACGGATGACAGCACTGCAAAAAAAGAAATGGGTCAATCAAAAGTGTTAAATATACTTCTACTTTATAAATGAGTTCTCCCATCGAGGTTCTCTGTAATTACAGTAATTTCTCTAACAGTGTTTTAAATGTTTTATTTTTAAAAGATATCGTTACTCCTTTTGTTACTATGTTTCCTTGTCTGAAACGTTATACTTCATTCTGAGTCTAAAGAAAAATGGAGACAATACAATAATCTGCTCTATAACTACGTTTGTTGTTTAAGTACACTGCTCAAATCTGAAATTCAAAAGACAAAACCATACCTGGAAAGTTCCAATATGTGCTAGGTTTCATGGGGATTTTTGTCAAAAACATAAGTAATTAAGAACAAATGAAAACAGTAATTCTCATCTTATATCATTATCAAGTTCACATAATTTTATCAATACAACAAAGATCTTGCTAAATATCACTTCACGGTTATATCTGGTGAGGCTGTATGCTAGCTGGCAGTGATTTTTGCTTACAATTACCTACAAGCTGGAGTGCAGATTACAAAGAAGTTCTACCACTACGCCTGCATTTTTAATTGCAATGGGAGTCCTAAAAGGCCTGTCCCAATATTTCCTTTAAGAAGATGCATCAGAGTTTGCACAAACCTGAAAAGTAAAAATTGTGAGATTTAAAACATTTTAGAACAAAAACTATTAAAATCACAATTATAATTTTACTATTAGAAGGGAAGTGAAAATTTAATCTAGGGACGAGCCTATTTCCACTTCACAAGTAATCCAGAATTCATACTTGGTTCCATCCTATCTTTGTTACTTACAAGTGGAACACAGAGAGAATTATTGGTGGAAACTGAATGAGATATTTAACTGAAAGTGGTTTCGCACGCTGAAAAGTGATAACGAAATGATTCTTTGTAAGATACTTTGCTGCTATGACTTCAGAACACTGGCACTGTCTATATAATCAGGGCACTAAACACCCGGCTATGATTATCAATCTGAGAGGAAGTTAATTAAAAGAAAAAGCACAAGTTTAAAACTACCTGTGTTATCAGGTAAGATAACCATCAACTAATTTCCGAACAGCACGAATTCCCTCAGGGATCTGACCTAAGAATACTTGCTAGGCAGCAGCTGAAGAAACTTTTCTTGACCAAGAAATTAAAGCTAGGAAGAGCACAGAATTGCTAGGCAAAACTGCTTGCCTAGAATCTCTTAGTTCATACTCTTCTCTTCCGACGAATTTCACGTTACTTTGTTTAATCACTGAGCTCCTTTCAGGATAAGAACTCATTATCGAGAAGGACACATCAGTGAGTTGTGTCTTCCCTACAACTTCGCTCACACCGCTCTTTTGCGTTCTCAATCCCCCTTCCCTCAGGACACAAGGCTGCCTACACCGTCCCCCGTCCTCGCCTACGCCACCGCCGCCCTGGTCCTCGACGCAGACACCACCCCCGTCCTCGCCGCCACCGCTGCCGCCCAGGTCATCGCTCCCAACGCCGCCCTCGCCGCCGCCCACGTCCTCGCCGCTGACGCCATCGCCACCGCCATCCTCACCGTCGTCGCCCCAGTCCTCGACACCGCCTCCGCCGCCCTCGCCACCGCCGCCACCCCCGCCCTCGCCTACGACGTCCCGGTCCTCGCCGCTGCCGCCTGCGCCACCCCAGTCCTCGCCTACGACGCCCCGGTCTCACCGCCGCCGTCTTCGCCGCTGACGTTGACGCTGCCCGTCCTCGCCGACGCCCCTGTCCTCACTGCCGCCGTCCTCGCCGCCGACGCCGCCACTGCCGTCCTCGACGCCGCCAACCCCGTCCTCGCCTACGACGCCCCGGTCCTTGCTCCCGACGCCGCCCTCACCGCCGCCCACGTCCTCGCCGCTGCCGCCGGCACCACCAATGTCCGCGTCCCGGTCCTCGCCGCCGACCCCACCCCGCCTCGCTCCGACGCCAACCCGTCCTCGCCACCGCCCCGGTCCTCGCTGCCGACACCGCCCTCGCACGCCCACGACCTCGCCGCCACCGCTACCGCCAGCGGCATCCTCACCGTTGTCGCCCCAGTCCCCGCTGCCGACGCCGCCCCTTCACTCGCTGCGGCCATCTTCGCCACAGACGCCACCTCCGTCCTCGCCGACGTCGACACCGCCCCCGTCCTCGCCGCCGACGCGGCCCTCGACGAAGACGCCGTCCTCAACGCAGCCAATCCCGTCCTCGCCGACGAAGCCGCCACCGCCGTCCTCGCCGCCGCCACTGTTTTCGCCGCCGACGCCCCTGTACTCGGCCGCTGCCGTCCTCGCTGCCGCCGCTGCCGTCTTCGCCGCCACTGCCGTCCTCGATGCCGCCACCGCCGTCCTCGACGAAGACGCCGCCGCGTCCTCGCCGCCTCAACGCCGCCACCGCCGTCCTCGCCGACGTCGACGCCCCCCCGTCCACGCCGCCGACGCCGCCACTGCCGTCCTCGCCGCGCACGCCGTCCTCAACGCAGCCAATCCCGTCCTCGCCGACGTCGACGCCGCCCGTCCTCGCCGACGACACCGCCACCGCCGTCCTCGCCGCCGCCCCTGTTCTCGCCGCCGACGCCCCTGTACTCGCCGCTGCCGTCCTCGCTGCCGCCGCTGCCGTCCTCGACGAAGACGCCGCCGCCGCCCTCAACGCCGCCACTGCCGTCCTCGACGAAGACGCCGCCGCCGCCCTCAACGCCGCCACTGCCGTCCTCGACGAAGACGCCGCCGCCGCCCTCAACGCCGCCACTGCCGTCCTCGCCGCCGACGCCGCCCTCAACGCCGCCACTGCCGTCCTCGCCTCCGACGCTGTCCTCGCCCGCCGTCGCCGCTGCCGCCCACCTGACTGTTCACGCCGGCAAGATGGCGGCGGCGGAAGCCGCAGACGACGGTACCTGCCGCCTCCGGGCCGAAGAGGTCGCTCCCGAGCGCTGCGATGCACGGAGGGATCCCGGCCGTGGATGCGCACGCGTCTCAGGTACGTTACGCGAGGCGTCCTTGGGTTGGCTGGGCCCGTATGTGGGGGACACTGGGGGACAACTTGAGGTGGGGGCGGCTCCTGAGTTGCAGTAGGCGGGGCCTTTCATTCGGGTGATGGACTCATTGATTGATTGACAGATCCGTCTCCCGAAGCCTTCTTGCTGCCTCCGGAAGACACAGGCTTCGTTCTTGGTTTGATGGTGTTCGGTTTTCATGAAGCATTGCGTTTGAGCATAGGGCACTTACCTTTTCCTTTTTGTTCTCAGCGCTGTGACAGTGCAGGACTCTCAGTAGGCTTGTTAATATGTCTGCCGCCTTCTTTAGAAATAGCATATTACTTTAACTCATCTAATGTGCTTTTAAAATAGTAACTAAAGGTTATACTTCGCTCACAATTCTTTAGTGTAATAAGTATAGACATGTTCAAATAGATCTTACTCAACTACCAACAGAAAAAACGTTTCTGGTGGGAAGCATACGTAGTAGTTTGAAAGTGAAGATAATCAGATATTAGGATTGGCTTATCTCATGGGCCCATGACAGGAAACGTCACCACCAGTCACACTTCTGAGCTGTAGAGAAATTCAGTCTGTATCTGTTGCTCTTTTGCTCCAATGTGTTATTCTCTAACGGATGAAATGGAACATGTGGTATCTTTAGGGGCCAAACAGCACAGCCAAGTATATATTTTATCAAGTAATACTGAAATTGATCAGGGAAACTACAAGATTAGCTTAAGGAGTTAGGAAAATTCTAGAGTGGGGTGTGATACCCAGCCTGCTGTACAAGAACCTGCCTGCCCTACTGTCAGTCAGGTGAAACATTTTTTTCCAAGCTTTCTTCTATTACTCCCAGTTAGTGTTTTGGTATCTAGCAATCTGATTTAAGTTAATAGCTGCTCTTGTTCATACCCATTTCTTTATTGCTGAAACTCATACTGGTGATTACAATGGGTGGTACTGGGCTATGAAAGCCAGTTTGTCCCAGATACACTTTACTGTTTTTAGTGTATTTATTGGCCTATTGCGTTATGAGCGCTTTTAGTGTTCTTTACAGCAACCATCTGTAGCTAAAAAATGAATTTGCAGTTTTCCAATCCAAATATACTCTTGTGACTCTTAAGTAAGGAATACAGGATTTTGTTCCATGGTGATTAGTCAGTCATACCTAAAGTAAAACTCTAAAGCATAAAATGTATAACTTTAGCATTTAAATAAAAACATCTTAATAGTCTATTGGTTTTATTTTCCTATAAAACATTTTGGTCTGTATTCAACCCTTCCTTTCCAGAAAATTACTTCCAGTTCCTGGATTTATCTTTACATGAATTTTTTTATAAGCCTTAATGGATTCAAAATGTATACAAGTAATAGATAAAGAGGTTGAAAAATTGATACCTATGGAGCATTTATAGAAGCTTGGAGAGTGTCAAGATACAGAGTATTCTAGCCAGTACTTTCAAAACAGAAGAGTATTGAGAAAATAGAATAAATACTGTAATACAGTTAGTAGTTAGTTATATTGTAATATAGTTATATTTAGTATTGTAATATAGTTAGTATAGTTAGTATTTAGTATTGTAATTTCAGAGCACAAGTTCAGATCACTAAGAATAATAAAATTGGATCATCAAAAAGTTATAAGTATATTATTACAGACCTATAAAATATTGTCATGTGAGATTTCAAATTGAGATCATAATAACTCCCTCTCTTTTCCATAATAAAATTGACCTGTATTCATAATTAATAAAGGTATATCCTGAAAAGATCCAGAAAATATTGCAAAAACCAATCAATTGACTCTCAGTTATTATTAAACAAGCTATCTGTCGTGGCAATTTCAAACAGTGAATCATTGTGTGGGGTTTCTAATAAGCCTGGCTATTAACCCCAGCTCTGCTTTATCCAAGAAACATTGGATGCATTGTTTAACTTTTTAAGCTAAAGTTTTCTAGCCTCCAAAGTTACGGATAATAATAAGTACTTTATAGGCTACTGTAGTGGTATAAGATGGATATATATACGTATATACACACACATATATATATCATGAACACCTTCAGAAGTTAATGAGTTGCTTTATAGTCTAGCCTTTTGTATCTATTAATATAGGTACTATGTCTTATATGTTTTTATATTAGTAAGGTCTAAATATTTGAAGATGTGAATTTATGCTTTTATATTTTAAATAGGTTTCTTAGGTTCGGCTTTTTACTTAATCTGACAGAATAATTACCATTATTTTTTAAACTGGTATATTTAAGTAATTCATATTTCAAATGATTATATTATTGTTAGTTCAAGTGATTAAAATGTAAGTATCTTGCTAGTTGTTTCTCTGTTACATTTTTTCTTTCTTTTTTTCACTACCTTTTCTTGAATTGAAGCACAATTTCATGGTTCTGTTTTTCTCCTCAATAGACTTACTAATTTCTCCTCTTAAAAAAAAATTCTTTAGTGATACTCTTACAGTGTACAATATACATTTTAAATTAATCTGGATCTACCTTCCAGTAACATACTGCTTCATATGCAGTATGTACTGTCTACAACAGAATATTCCCGATACTCCCCACATACTGCTTACGCTATTATTGTCATACATTTTACTTTTACACAGGCTAAGTACTTTTAGAACCATTGTGTGTAAGAAATAAATAAATTTTATCTCATTTTCATTCATCCCAGTTTCTATCCTCTTCATTTCTTTTTGTACATCTGATCCAAGTTTCTCATTGATATCAAATGTATTACACCTAAAATATCTCTCCATACTTCTTATAGAGTGCATCTGAATTGTACAACATCATTCTACCTGACCCTTCTCATGTCCATTTGTCTCTGTTTTCTTTGTTCTTTTTCCCCTCCTGCTTTCTCTGTCATCTCTTTATTTTTTCCTTCCTTTTTGTGATATGCTTCTCTTAGAATTAGATTGTTATCTTCAAAATGAGCTTCTATTCTTTGAGAATATTTTTACTTATCATTTACACTTTCCCCTTGCTCTTCAGGAATCCCAAACCCTAGGAAACCAAGGCCCACCAGTATTTTCCCTTTCTCAAAACTTGAAGTGTAGTTTTTGTATTCTTAGCCCTCTAAACCTGTCAGATGGGCTGTTCAGCCTCTTACCTGTCCAGCTGAGCTAGAAAAATTGGCCTTAATCACTGGTCTCTATCCTTCATCTTGCTCTCCGCTATTTTCAGTCCCCTTACTTCCTGGGCTCATTGTCTACTTCACTCCTTGAACTCTTCAGGTACTGACTGTTCTCTCGCTTCATCAACTACAAAGCCTTTGCCACACAGTGCCCCTGAAGCAAAAGCAGCAAAACTCCAATGGGAATCAGATGCTCACAGTGCTTCCTCCTCTCTCCCCTGCCCGTCCTCATGTGACCAAAGACGTCCGAGTCGGAGTCACTACTGCACATTTTTGCAAGTATGGCACACAGTGAAGCTAGTTCAGACTTTCTTTGTGCTGCTAATAGATGTCAAGAAACTTTTGCCTTCTCTTCTCTCACATTTCTATGGAAGACTTTCTGCTACCATCTGGCCTCTCTCCTCATTCCTTTCCCATGCTTCCTTATGGAAGGATGAGTTCAATGTGATGTGAACCTGTGGGAAGGTCCTGAGGGCTGTGATATCTTGCAGAGATAGTTTTCTGTACAGAGGAGCATTGCATTCTTCTCTCAGTTATGTGAGATGTCCCCTGCAAGTGGAATTTCTATATTTTTGAGTGGGAGATTTGATTCACTATGGATAGTAGAGAAGATATTAGATGCCCATTTGAGCACAAATTAAATTGTATTCCTTGATGCAGTTTTTATCAGTAACGGTAGTAATATTTTGCTCTCCCTTTGTTTCACTTGTATCTCATATTTCAATAGGTTCCAAACTGAGGATGGGGGAAAGAGGATGTGATTTGATTATCTAAAAGCCCCCAAGCAGTGACTGACCAAAAACTTCCTCCTGACTGTAAGTTGGTCTATGGAGGAAGGTTTCATCCTCATCTTTATGTGTGTCATCACCCCAAGTCACACCTGCAGCTTCAAGCAATAGTAGTGATTCATTCATCCATGTGGTTTTTCCTCCCTATTGCTACATGTTATTCATGGACTGAGATTAATGATGAAGTCATAGTGAACTGAAAACAAAGGATGTGGAGGAGTTGTCTCATGGACACAGAGACCGACCATCAAGGAATGGAGCAAAAGCAGCTGAGCAACCTGTGCCTTCTGCCCACAGCTATCATATCCAAATTTACTTTCTCTAACCATATTATTAATTGTAGGTTACATTTTTGAGGAAATGTCTTGTTATGTAGGCTTGGATGGCCTTGAACTCACCATTTAGCTCACGTTGGCTTGGAACCTGGTGTTCTCCTGCCTCAGTCTCCTGAGTTCTGAGATTATAGTATATGTCACTGAATCCAGCAGAAGTTTACATTTTTATACTTGTGACTTTTTAGAATATTTATACAGTGCTGGAGATGCAGCTCAGTAGCAGAGTGCTTACCTAGCATGAGCCACGGCCTTCAGTTCAACCCAGCACAAAAAAAAAAAAAAGAAAATTCATGTAAAAAAACAATATACTTCATATTCACCAGTGGAGACCTGATATCATCTAAGCAAGAGAAAAATTTCCTAAAGCCACCTAGAACAAAAGAGCCTTGACAGTATTAATAATAGTGTGAACTTGGTCCCCAAATCCCAAACTGTGTTTATGTAGACATGGTCATAGATAAGTCTCCTTTTATCTTAAATGTTTCCATGAGCTTTTATTTTCCTTTTTCAGAGAATGTCTGCTCATTGCCACAGCAGTGCTCCAACAGAATGTCTTGGCAACACTCTCTACTGGGTTCAGCAACTCCTTCTGCAGCTGGGATTTCTTAAAAGAGTGAGCAGCATTTGCCTGGCAGTGGTCCAGCAACAAAACAAGCAAAGCTTCCATGGGAATCAGATATTTGCAGAGCATTCCCCTCTCGCCCCTGCTCTTCCTTCATGTAACCAAGGAGGTCAGAGCCACTCATGCACATTTTGGCAATTACAGTGCTCACAGTGGAGCTTATATACAGATACAATCCTAAACACTAGGCCCTCCACACATCACAGGGAACTTCTTGATTACACTGATTGTGGGATGAATAACCTGAATGTGTCAAGTTCAAGGAGTTGCGACAGATCAAGACTGTATCCCCTGTAGCAGACACTTGTCACCCAGTGGGCATGTATGTGTGTGTGTGTGTTTGTGTGTGTGTTTGGTGAGTACAAGGCTCAGCTAAAGAAATTCCCCAAAGC